GCCGGACCCCTCAGAAGTTACTGACGACCTGATCGAGGTACCTCCGGAACACACAGTTCCATACCTACCTGGCGATGATTACCATGCGTATGACGCCATGTATGACGAAGTATGGAGGACGGACAGCAGCCCGGACTACTCACCAACGAATGGTGACGCAGTGCCGGAACCGCGATGACAAACAGTGAGCAGTACGAGGGGATAAGATGCGCCTGAGAGTATTACGTGGCTGGAACTGAGAGTATAAAGTGGCCGGAACTGAGAGTATAACGTGGCCGGAACTGAGAGTATAACGTGGCCGGAACTGAGAGTATAACGTGGCCAGAACTGAGAGTATAACGTGGCTGGAACTGAGAGTATAACATGGCTGGAACCGAGATTATGACATGATGAATCACCCAACCTCTGATGTCCCATGACTATGCCTTTACGGGAAGTCAGTAGGAGAGATGAATTAGCTGAGCAAGCCAAGGGGATGGAGATTGAGCAGAGTGGTATCGTCATTTTCTATCGATTCTAGAGATTCATACTGGAAGAGCGATAAATGAGAACGCTCTTTACCAAGTGATTAGTTCACATTTTTGACCATTGGTTAGTCAGTCAGTGATTTCTGGTAAAAGAAAAGAAGAGAGGGTAAAAGAAAAGCATGAGCGAAGGAGACCAGTAGACGGCCCCTCCGAAAACGCGACTCACGCGGGTGCCCCACCCGCCAGGGCGGACGGGACCCGCTGGGCAGCCTGACTAAAACACTAAGCATCTGACAGGGTGGGACCTGATAAGGCAGCCCTTGTAACAATACGGGGCAGTAAATGGGACCCAATTTGGGCAATTTACTGATCAAGAAAAACTGTGGGGTGAAAAACGAGGCAAAAACGTAGTGCTGTAGCTGCAACCGATGGACCAGTACGATCCTTGCTGGACTGGCTGGGGAATGTCGTAAACTTCAGTCTGAACCCTGTATTCTGGAATGGGTTCAATGAGTCGCTGTTCTTGTGCGACTTGTACGTTTAACTTCACCCTACATGTCACCAGCCTGAGGTGATCCTGTACTAATCCGATTGTCCCTCGGTTGAGGTGACGATCTAAATCATCTGTACGGTATAGTCTTGTACGTGTCCTAGGATGGGATGAAAATATACAGAGCAGATGTGATCCCTTTTGGACAGTCTGTTGTTAAAAAAATGAACTAGAATGCTGGGGCTAGAACAATCAACTAACGGATTTTGAAGCTGGATGGGTAGTCATGTCCAACATAGGATAGGTTGTCTTGTCATGTCTATATGAGTACTTACTATTCGCCCTTGTCAATGTAGTGAGTCTTATATCCGTTTGATTTAATAATTATTGACAATCTGTGACACTCAGTTCCCACCTTAGCGGAAGGCACCCATCATTGGCTCGACATCGCCAACACTTACTACGCTGCCCGGGCAGCCCTTCCTTTTGCAAATCCTGACAATGCGTAGACGATTGGGTAGACATTTCGTCACTCTCGGCATTCGAGAGTTTGAAAAAGTACGAATTCCTTTTTGGGACTTACGCGAGGGTGCGTGAGGGCTCCTTGGGGCGCAGCGCCACAACTGTGGCGATTTTCTGAGTACCCCGCTAGAACCGCATACCTTGACATTAGCAACACCATATTGACCTGATTATGGGGGATCAATAGGCGCTGGAATGCTTGATAGTCGATCATGTATACCACGAGATGTGCTCTGACTGTGCAGAAATAGAGTGACAATATTGAGTATGTGTGATGCCTATGAGACACTGTACTAGAAGTTCTGGAGAGGCCAGCTGCCCTTGGAAGGGTGAACCAGCAACCGTGATAACTAGAGATGGCTCATAATGATATGGCGATCCCAACGGTACCTCGACCTGGCCGCTGGCAAATGCCCGGACGACGGACTGAACAACTAAGGATGTAACGGAGGAATAGAAGACATGCCTTGCCCTAGGGAGCGGAGCTAACAGCTCAGGAGAGGTGCCGCGTGGCTAGAGACACCCCGGGACAACGACTGCACACGCCAGGCTTACCATGGGAGCGCCAGAGGCGAGTTTTGGCATATTTAAGAGGCTGGGGTCTGGTGGGTGTTGCACCCACACGAAGTATAGTACTTTTGCGAGGGCCAACTATGGCGGGTGTTGCACCCTACGCTGTGCCGTGGCATGAGGAGTCAGCTTTTGATGGAAGATGTTGTAGCGTTTGGAGTGGAGTGATGTGGGGAGATGAATGCGGTACAATTTTTTGGGGCTAGGTAATTTGGGCCCGTACTTTAGTATGGGGCGCTGGTAGTTTGGGACTTGGGTAACACACCCGGCAGCTTAGAATAGGATCGGAACCCTGGCTATCGTGGGATCTAATATTATAAGCTGGGAACGCGGCTAAGAGCGCCCCGGAAATGAATTTTTAAAGTTTGACTTAGCGTTCTTGTGTAAGAATCGATCCCTGTGGTGGTGTTCCGTGAGTGGCGGGGCTCTCCGAGTCGGCTGCTGTGGGCATATGCATTCCCGGGTTGGGTCGGTGCTGCGCTCGAGGGCGGCCGACGGTAGGTGCGCGGCTATCAGTGCCGTGGCTGCGGTGCGCCATGCGCGCTTGTGCTCGAGGCGCACATTTCCGACATGATTCCACGTCGTCGCGGCGGCGATGGAGACCATCGCCAGTGCCGATCCTCACAACGGCGATGGCCCATGCCCAAACGCGCGGCTCGGCGTTGCCGTTCCTGCGAGGGCTCCAGTCGAGCCGCGGAGGTACTCCAGAGCCTTCTAGCGCTTTGCTGTGGCAGGCTTCGGCGCAGCGACCGCGGCACCGTATGCAATCAACGCGCCCCTCAAGGCCAAGCGTTCGGGACCCCCGGGCCCTGGAGTAAGTTTTGGAAAGTGGAGAGCGGGTGTGCAGCTCCCACTCGGGTTGGGTTGCGTGCTTGAGCGCAAGGTCGGCGTGGGTCATGGACCTCTGCCATCGCAATCACAGTGCACGGTGTGTGTTAATCACGAGCCGTGAGTGTCAAATGCGCTTTGCGTCGATTGAGGGCAATGCGGCTGCGGCGATGGCTTGCGAATCACGCCCATGGCGATGGCCCGCGACAGCGATGGTGGTGCCGGCAGAGGCCTTGCCGAACCCAGCGCCATCTCTTGAGGTGCGAGCTGTGCGTTGCGGTAGTGGGACACGATTCCCCATCGTCGCGCCAGCGATGATGGCCATCCCCAGCACCAATGGCCGCAGCAACGATGTCTCGGATCCCAAAACTCAACAATCGAAGTTGCATCCCCCCGCGAGGGCTTCCTCCCACGCAAGGAGTTGCTCCGTTTCCATGAACGCTCTCTACTGCGACAGCCATTGGCACGGCAATGGCGGCACGCGAGGCAATCACCGCCCACCTCCAGACGAGGCGTTGAGGCCCCTAGGCCTACGAATGAGTGCATGGGCTTACTGCGGACATCGGTGGCATGGGTCCCGCCCAGGCCGATGGGCGTGCTTGAGCGCGAGCACTGGGTGGGGTGAGCAACCCCGCCATCGCGACTACAGTTTGCCACGGGTGACACTCATGAACCAAAATTGTCGAATGTGATCCGGCATCCATGCGTTGATTAGCCAATCTGGCTGCAGGGGTTGTTTTGCGATACAAAAGTGCGGGTGGAAATGGGATCCGTGGGAGGGCTTCCCTACGATTTGTTGTCAACGAATAACATCAATTGCGCAACCCAGCCACCGAGTAAGCGGGCTCTTACTAACGGATGAAGCAGGAACAAAAAAGTGCAGAATGTCAGGGCCGAAGGCCCGACTTCTAGACTGGTAGTACATAGACCGGGATATTCAATGTATTAAGATGCGGGTGGCATACCCAAGGGCGAGGTAAAGTGGTACCTTATACGAGTTTGACGTGACCTTTTATGGGAACATGGTAATGGCGCCGCACCAAGCGGCCTGGGGTATTTATGGACACACTGCTTTGCTTGTAACAATTGCGAACCTTAGGCCCACCTCGCCGTTCCTTTTGTGTCTTTCAGGGATTGTGCCCTGCTGAAAGATGAGTATACCGCACTAACAGACGCCCATTGCAGGTGCATATCGCCATCGAGTTCAGCTTGGAGGGGCAAGCATCCAATTCCGTGCGTGACCGGTCCATTACTGGAAGAATCGCCACTTGGACGCCATTCTTGCGGTGGTTCGAGGCTCGGTGCCACATTTATCGCAGCACGACATAACTCATCATAGTGTGCGGCACTCATCAATTTTTATCATGGATGCTCAAAATGACACGTCCATCAGTCACATCAAAGATGCATGGCACGTCGCCTGGCACATCTTCAACTGTGGCATGCTGTCATTGGCAATCATCTGGCATGTCTCCAAAACTAGCATGGCCACGGCACAGCTTTATATAGATGCATCTGTGGGCTCATCATCTCATTAACTGCTCGAAATTGGCACTACTCATCTTCAAAGCTACGGCATCGTGTCTCCACTCATCAAGGCATAAAGCCTAGCACATCCTTGGTAAACAACATGTTAACTGCATGGCTCATCTTCAAAACCGCAACTTCTCATTAAGGGCTCATTCTCTGCGTATTCAGATCGCTTTTATACCATCTACTGAGTACTCATGTAGGTGTGATATCAAAGTCATACCAGCAATATTAACCATCAGACCATAACGAGACTTTTAACGATAAGGTACCCAGTTCCGGAGGGGTACTCAGAAATCGCCGCGGCCCCGCTCGGTGGTTACATGCCGCACTGACAGCCCATTGCGGGGTGCATCTTCGCCCTCGAGTTCGGCCCCGATCGGGCGAGCGTCCATTTCCATGCGTGACCGGCTCATTGCCCTGGAGATTCTTCACCTGCACGCCACTTGTGCGGCGTACGAGCCTCGACCCCACCCCAAACGCGGCCTAAAAAACACTTCAAGCGCCCAAAATTGTCGCGTGACCGGCTGCTGGCTACTTCCCGAGTCGGTTCCCCCAGGGGTTTGCTGAGGCGCTTGCCCCGCCGTCCCGCCATGGCCTTTCCCCTGTACAACAAGCAGGAGCTGCTGGAGTCGCCCAGCCAGGAGGACGGCCTGGACGCGGCGGTGCAGAAGCGCCTGCGCAACAGCTATTGCGACCTGATCCAGGGCGCGGGCGCGGAGCTGAAGCTGCCACAGTACGTGGTGGCGTGCGCCATCTTCCTGTGCCACCACTTCTTCGCGGTGAAGTCGATGAGGCGGAACGACCGGTTCCTGGTGGCCACGGCGTGCCTGTACCTCGGCTCCAAGGTGGGGGGGCCGCGCCGGTTGGCTGGCAGCTGGCAAGGAATGTGAATGGTTCAACTTTGCAGCTGTTTGTTTCGATTTCGCGCCGGGCCGATCGCTTGATTGTGGCCATCGCTTGGCCCTGTTCGGGGAGTGCAGTAGAAGCTGAGGGCGGCACGGGGTCTGAGACGCCAAGGGCCGCGTTGAGCCTGCCAACGCTGGGGGACGTTCCGTCAATCAGGAAAGCTGGCGTCGGGTGAAAGGGGCTGGGAGGCGCGGTGCCGGCGGAGTGGAAGAACGCATTGCGGGCTGTGGCGAGTGGAGATGGACAGGCCCTGCCGATTCGTTGCTGCGCCAAACTGGATGTCCCTGCGCATTGTTAGCGTGTGGCCTGGGTTGGTCCGGGCGTCCAGGACTTTGTTTGTTCTGTGCAATGCTCGTTTTCAGCCAAACCGGCGCTGGAATCGCATCATTGGCAGCGAGTATTGGCTTGTTGGGGGCCTCCAAATATAGGGGAAGGGCCAGCAAAACATGGTTTTGTGCTAGTCGCTGCGATGGTAATTGTAGGTTATGCTGGTGGGCACCAGATTGCTGTGCCTCTCATCTGCCAGTGGCCATGAATTCTTGCAAGTTGCTGTTCAGCCACGCCGCTTCCATTCTATCTCTTGCTATCCACCAGTGCTCTTGGGAGCAGCTTCTTCAGCCATGAACACAAACGAAGCTGCAAGCTGTGAACCATGGCACTGTGCTCCTGTGTTATCTGCTGCCAGCCAAGACAGGGTGCAGTCGTCAGTGAGCGATCGGCGCTGTGTTGGAATGTTGGCACCTGTGCAGAACAAAGTAACTCTGACGTGTAAGCCTGCGCTCTCATATGTGGTCCTCATGCTGTCATCACTGTCAGGTGCATGTCTCTTTGCCCATTTAGTGTGCACTGACAGTTTCTCAGAAAAGCATTGCACACAGTCAAAGTTTCAGTGCATTGCTTTACTACTAGCTTTGCTGAACCTGTTTTTCTTGGCACCAACAATACCATGCATCAGCAACGAGTGAGCTACAAAGGGTGTGTGTCAAACAGATGGAGGACCGCCCAAAGAATGTCAAGGATGTCATCACTGCCTGCTTCGTGAAGCGCTTTGGGTCGGACTCTGAGCGTGTCCGGCGGCTGAAGGACGCAGAGCACATGCAGGCAGTGCGGGAAATGGTGTTTGACGCAGAGAAAGTGGTCCTCCTGGAAACGGGCTTCAATTTCATTGTGGACCTGCCCTACCACCATGCCCTCACCTTTCTTGATTCGCTGCCCCTGGACAGGTGTGCAGAACATTCCAGTATGGACAGCATGGATCGAAATGTGTCTTTAATTCCCTTGACGTGAATAAGCACTGCCTTATCACTGCCTTATCTTATTGGCAATGTAGCCATTGGGTGCTGGCAGTTATCGCCTAAGGTGGCAGACATGATCATGACAGGGCACGTTGAGACTGACATGCTGGCATGAGACTTGTTGGAAAGTTTCATTTGTTTTCCCTTCCAGCATGACCACAGTCGGTGTTGTAGTCAAGCTAGCCCCTCCGCTACCCCAGCGCCCCTCACCCCCTTCCACTATCTTGCGCATCGCACAGAATATGTCAACTCAAGAATTCTTCACGTCTGGGAGCCTGCATGAGCTGGAGTGCAGTGGCATCACTGATATGGGGTGTTGTTCTTTCCCACTGTTGTTGTAAGGTCTGTCAAGGTGAGCCCAGCACAGTGCAGGGGCATGAACTCTAGCACATTGATGGAAGTGTGCAGCTACCACCCATGCAACATATTGCATCTTGACAACTGTCCCGGAATTGGTCCTGGTTTGGGATCAGAAAAGGATACACAAGTTCTCCAGTGCAGACTGCCCTGTGCTGCCGTGTGGTTTCATGGGAGAAGTCCGTTTTTGCACTTATGTGGTGAGCATTCAGTTTTGCCCTTTTGGGAGAGTTGCAACTCTAACGGAATTTCCAACAACAGATCGGCACTTAGGTAACTCTAGCCTGGAGCACACGAAAGATGTTGAAAGGATTTGCACGAACTGGCCACCAGCACCACTTGGGCAGCTGGCCAACGCCTGATCTTGCCAGATGTGTACCTTGACTTTGGCGCTTGGTTGCCCTTGCACAGGGTCAGCGACGAGCAGAAGTTGAAGCTGACACAGACAGTGTGGGACCTGATCAATGACAGCCTGAGGACAACGCTCCTGTTGGAGTATTCTCCAGCGGCCATCGCTGCAGGTATGGTTGGCCTGGCAGTGACGGTGTCCAAGGAGATGTGTGACACAGGGGCGATCTGGGAAGACGTCAAGGAGGGCCACACTGTGGAAAAAGACATACGGAAACAGATGCTGGACCTTTACGACTTATCGTCTGGCAGGGCCAGGGGGAGCGAGGTCAGCAGGGACCACTCACAAAACTACATGGACCACTCGCAGAACTATGCGGAGCAGTCGCAGAGCCAGACTCGGCCGTCTTGGAACGACGATCTGGACAGATCGTAGGGGACTGATTAGATTGGGTAACATGGGTAGGTGCTAGGACTGCTTCCACTTTTGGCGGCCACCTGGTGGGTGACTGGTGGTGCTATGACAGTGCCTCCTCCTTCTCCCAGGGGATGCAGCGGCAGCAGCACCGAGCATGCAGCGGCACCGTTAGTATGGCTAGCAGTTTTCGAGGCGTGCTGAGGTGGCTGTCAATGATTAAAACTCGTGCTTTCATGGGCGTCCTGACGCCAATAGGTTTGAATTGAGAAGCTGAGGGCAGGGGACCCTGCGCACAGTGTCGACCGACATTTGCTGAATTTCGTGGTGGTGTAGATATTGTCTCAGCTCTGATGTAGACAGAAATTTTTGGCAGCTTCACCCGGTGACTGGTGCATTGACAATCTAACCTTACTTGTGACTCAATGAGTCCATGCCTTGGGTGCCCGTGCTCTGGCACATCACCGCTCCTTTACCCTGGTCGTTGCGTGGTTGTGACCATGTAGCATCCCAAATGCAATGTCCACCACACCAATGCTTTTCATTTGCCACTGAAGCGAATGACTGTCCTGTTGCAGCATGAACGTCTACTGGCATGTGTTCATGTGCATCGTTGGTTTGCTGCTCATCTGCCCTCCACACATCGATATCTGTCATTGACCGCCATGCCAGCGTGGGGTTCTGGTGCTTGGGAGGGGCTGTCACATCTCCCCGCCTCTTTTGGGTGAAAAGGCAGTTCAGCACAATCATGGGTGCTGGTGTCGTTATATATCGACACTTGTGCTATCCGCTGTTGATGTGACAGGCAGGGGCGGTAGCACCATATAGAGGGCCATTCTTGCTCGTGTGCCATGGTTCTGGTGCAATTTTTCATCCGACAATCAGAGCTCAGGGAGCTGGGGTACTGGTAGGCTGAGAGTCGTTGTGCTTCTGTACGATTGATATCAATAAGCGATAGGTTGTCAACTTGTGTGCACCCAATCCGCCTCCATGATCACCAGTTAAAGGGTGTCCACGGCGACGAGTGCAAGGGCAAGCTGCACATCTGGATCGCATGCTACTGTTGATTGTAAGCCTCGCGATGACTGCTGTTACACATGCTACTGTAATAGTAGCCACCAAACATGGCTGGGGGTCACTTACGATCAAGGGGACGATGAAACTCAACTGAAAACGCGTGGTGACTGTCTTGACCGAACTCAGGCCGGAAAGGCCATTCAGTTAAATGGAGTGCAAAGTAATCAATCACAGTGAGACCTGTCCCTCAAACTAATTCCGTCTCGCTGTCTTCGTCGAGCGTGCACCATGCCGGCCCCGCTGGCTGATTTTACCCATGCGGGAACACCCGCCAGGTGGCCAGTGTGCACGCTGGAAGTTGTCATGAAATACGGTGCGCACTGCAGTTGGTCGATCCCCCAATACCGTTACGTGACGGTATCGGGGATTCTCCACCGCGTGGTGTCACCTGTGGGACACCGTGTCCTACAAACTGGCTGCGTATATCATGGAACAGAGTAATGGGTGTGAGCTGCAGATCGAACTCCCCGACGCCATTGCACCCTGAATCGCGTTGCACGCGTCCCATTCCTTCCCAGGGGCTGCTCTCTGGCTGTCCTAAAATTGGGGCGGGCCATCGGCCGACGTGGAACGAGTCGGACCGTGGCTGCCAGTGTGACGTCCATCCTCTCCCCCTTCCTCAAGCATTACTGGAGTGGTAGTTGCCATAGACGGAGCCACTTGTGTGCGGCGGGGCTTTCCAAGCGTCGCGGATCGAGGAGGGCGTGCGGATTGCCACGACACGGGCGACAACTGACGGCTGTCTGAAGGCAGCCCACCTCGAGTCACAGGTGCGGTTCCCTCGCCCCGCCCAGTTTTGCGTTCAAGAGAACCCGTCGCGGTTCCGCGGTTCTTGCCATTCACAAGAGGTGCCAGTCGGCCTAGCGGCAGCCGAGGTGGAGAGGGCCACCGCAGCCTCCAGCTGGCTGTACATTCATGGTCTTCGGTGGTCGTCCATGAAATGGTTTGCGGACCGCGTCCCGCTCCCCTCCTTCCCGTTAGCGCGCGGACGGGCGAATTTGATCGATCGCCGTTTCGCGTGAGCTGCCCCCGCTCTGTCTGCCTCCAAAGAGTGTTGGAAGCCGCGGGGCACTGCTGACGACGGGAGGGGCACCAATGGTGCTGCTGGTGTGGCCAACTGCTCCCTGGTTGCAAGCTGTGACTGGCTTTGAGTGGAGCAACGGGCTCAGATCGTTCAGTTTTCGCGGTGCGGTGCGCATCCGGTACACACCTCCGGAGCAGCGTGCGACCGCCTGCTGTTGGTCCGGGAGAGGCGTGCTGGACGGCCCGTGCTTCGTTTGCCGCCTACGGAGGTCGAAACCTGACTTTCTGTTGCAGTTTCCCAAATTTGGGAAAATTCGCAACTGGCATTGCATCCTCTCGTCTCCTTTCTGCCCTCGGCCAAGCCTGCAAGCCTGACGTTGGCACTGTTGGAGGCCGGCCGCTCGTCTCGACCAAGGCAGGAGACCCAATTGGGTGACGGGTGTTGGCGGGACGGTAGTGGGCACGAGACTATGCATAACGGGTAGGGCACATAACAGCAGCACATAAGAGTATGGCACCGGTTCGTGTTAATTGATGCCGGCGCCGGGGATTGCCGTGCAGGGGCTCCTGGCGGCAAGGGGCTCATGGCTCACAAAAGGCGCAGGACCACTGTCAGCGGCGTGGGCATCGTGACAGGCGCTCCGCATCAGGAGCCCCTGACGGGCGTCATCGGCAAGACTGTGTTCGTGCCCGCGTCCCACTTCGGCGTCGAAGTGCCTGGAATGTTCTACAGGTGAGGACACCGACCCGACTGGGCCCCTTGCGCGGGATTTCCGTGGGGTGTGGGGCGCTCCCGAGAGTGCTGTGGCAGTTGACAGTGGTCCCAGTGAAGGCCTCCCCGGAGGCATGGCGAACAGGGGGTGCTGGAAGCCCCACCACACTCATGTGGTCCCCCTCCGAGGGCCTTCCCAGTAGCTGCAGGTCAGCAAAACAGTCATCCAGCACCTTCCCCTCGCTGCCAGCATTCACATAAGCACGCGTTGATGAGATTCGAGCATCAGAAGTTGAAGCCCCTTTACTTGTTGTGTCACCAAATTAGAGCACGGTTCTCAATTGATTCAAAGGCACGCTTACCGCGACAGGTGCCACAGCGCTCACAACACAGGCCATGCGTACGGGGATGAGACGATTGGCCTGTACGGTATCTATGTGTGAGGCTCCCAACGACCAGGGGTGGGGACGTTGCAGGGTTGCCGTCTCCGTCTCATCTGCGCACGCCTGGTCCGTATCATGAACACCCTCATAGAACCTGGCAAGTCGTTTGTGCCGCCACGTGTCGCCGCGACGAGTGATCCTGTGTGACGAGATGAGTGATCGTGATGCTGGGGCGCATTAGGCTGACTGAACCGCGCTGTCGCGCTCCGCAGGGCCAAGGTCGTCGGTCGCGAGCGCGGCAAGACCGGCGCCGTGACCCTGCGGTTCTTCGAGGACGACGGTACGCGGTGCTGGCTGCCCGTGCGCGACGTGTCACGGTGGCTGCAGGACGGCGGCAACGGCGACGGGCTGTGCACGAGCTCCGCAACGGACGCGTACGCGGCCCAGGCGCTGAGCCTGCTCAAGGGCGGCGTTCCCAAGGGGGATGCCGAGAAGCCAAAGGTGGGCGCGGAGTCCCCGTCGGCGCCCAACACCCGTGGAGCCATTCAGCGTTCTCTGGACGACAACGGCGAAGAAAATGATCTGTGTTTGAAGCCTGCTGTGACGTCCTCTGTCGCGGATGTTCCAGAGGATGCCTGCGGACGATCCGATGGCCTGATTGGCGAGGGCAAGGCCGGGGGTGTGGACGGCAACGTTGTGTGCATGGGCCGGGATGAGGCGTGGGGAATCTTTCAGAGTGCGGGGTCAACAGGACGTCAGTCTACTGCGGCGTGCACCGGCACTCGCGCTTTGGACGAGCCCGGAGTCGGTTGCTCAAGCCCGGCCAGTCCACACGCCGGTGTGGTGTGTCAAAATTGGCGTCCTGATGTCGCTGGACGCTTGGGGGTGGACAGCGTCGCGAAGATATCCGTGGAAAGCAAGGCCCTGCACGATCAGCCCGGGAAGCGTCTGCCATCCGTCTCAGTCTTTGGCATTGTGGCTGACACAGCAGCAAACCAGCAGCAGCCGACGGCGAACGGGCCACACTTTGCCGTAGTTCCACGGCCGGACCTCGCAAAGGGCAGCGGGGTTGGACATTCACAGAGGAGCTTTCCATGTTCCGCACCCCGTCCACCGGCAGCTGTTTCCAGCCCCGGCCAGGGGTCGAAGGGAACATCTTTGGGCAGCCTCCCTCGTGACACCCCTCAACCTGGCGACGGTCGTCAAATCGCGCCGGTCATGCATGGCGACACCTCGCGGGAATGCAGGTGGACGCTTTGGCACCTTCGGGCGAATAGCGACGGCAGGCCCATCTATTCCTACGCCCATCCGCTACTGAACGGCGGCTGTCCAGAGGCGCCCGCGCGTTTCGAACGCAGTAGCAGCTCCTGGCAACCCCGCGGAGCACAAAAACGGCAGCGACTGCAGGGACGCGCCATGGTGGGCTCCAACTGCAGCCTGTTGAGCCGGAGTGACGATCAAAAGAGGTCCATAGTCTGCAGAAAGGTAGTGCACATGTACCAATGACGTGCCGGGTCGGGGTTCCAGAAGCCGCCTGGCAGAGCCATGCTTTGGAGTGCTCGTTGAAGGCCTATCGAGCTCCCGTTATCCTGTGATGGTGGGGTTCGGAAGGGCGAACTTTTTATTTGAGGGAGACCCATGCATGGGTGGTGGCCCGATAACTGTGTTTATCAAGTGCTAGCTTTAGATGAGCCCACAAATTTGTCAAGCACATCCCTTCCTGGGTTGGAGGCCGAGGATGCTGGAAAACAGGGAGAAAACCAGTCTGAGCCAATAGAGCAGTGGGAAATGGGGAGAATTGAAAACCCATGTTGCCGTACAGCCTG